AAATGGAAACAATAAGAAATAGAAAGTAATTGTGAAAGTAAAATAAAGTAGATTATAACTCAATTGGAGATGTCTTCAAACCATAGCTGCATCAGTAATATTTATGTCAAATCCACAAAACATTCATAGGCATCTGACTATCCAAACAGAAAGATAACAAAAGCAATATGTCTGTGTTAGGAGAGATGCAGTTGAATGACTCGAGGCTAATTGAACAACAGGGATGATGATGAAGTGAAAACATAAACTGAAAAGGGATATTTGATACATTTCTGAAACGTAACTAAAGCTAATTTATATGGTGCAAAAAGAGATGTAATCAAAGCTACTAAAAGATATAATCAATCAAAAACACTCTCTTTGGTGCAAACATAGATATTAAGCCATAACATTTATCTCAAAGGCCTTAGACAATTGTGCAAGCATATGAGCAACAACATTTCAGCACCAAACCTCACCATTCGAAGTAACTCATCTTTATTAAGAGCTGCATCAAAGAATAAAATGACAGGGAATAAGATATCAAATTAAAATTTCAAGCAAGAACTAAAATTCCAGCACACATGCCCACCCAGTACAAAACGATGATTGAAGTGCCCACCAAAGAAAATTAAGTTTGAAGTGTTGTATTCTTAAGCTACTGATAATACCCAAATAATAACCAGGAGGAGAAATTTTCACAAAATCGTAATTACTCTCTGAAAATAAAACAAAAATAAAAATTCTAAATACCAACGCACAACTAGAACCCAAATTCAATCAAATAAAATCAGAAATGCAAGTAGGATCTTGGATTCAATCAAATAAAATCACATACATATAGAATCCAAATAAAAGCAAACATTCACATAGAATCCACAATTAAAGCAAGCTACAGACATCTAGAATTCAAATCAATCCTAAACTGATACCAAAACTTTGTATCAAGCATGGAGGTTAGAGCTTTACAAAATCGCACCTTGGGAACTGTCACGCAGCCTTCACCTTCAAAGCAATTGGCCTCGAGCAATTGTCTTCTAGCTGATGAGGAGTTGAAGCTCTTGAATGTTCCAGTGAGAGAGAAGCTATAGATTGTGAGAGGGAGACAGAGAAGAAGCCAGAGAAAGAGAGGGAGGGTTTCGATAGGATTTGATGAGAGAGAGAGAGAGAGAGAGAGAAATTTGCAAAGTCTGAGAAGGAAGAGATCTGAGAGAACATTTGGGATTAAAGAATGAGTTAGAGATTGGAAATAGAATATGAGGCTTCTGTAAGGGAGAGAGAATTTGACCCCAAAAAAAAGACGCACCAAACTTAAATTTTGGTGAAAAAAGGGCGGCACGCGAAAATTTTTGGGGGAAAAAATTATAAATCCATGACGCATATGCTACGTCGTCAAAGTGCTAAAGATTTTATGACGCAGAAGACGCGTCATGTTAAGGTTATTGAAAATATTTCTACTCGTGAAAAAATAGCAAACGTAATTAAAAGAGGTGAAAGAAGTGGCGCAAAGACAAAAAAAAAAGTGGTGAAATTTTGGTAGATCTATGACTTGTAGGAAACGCCGTTGAAAAATAATTCTATGACGCGTATAAGTATTTCATGACGTGTAGAGGACGTCGTTAAATTTCAAAAAAAAAAAAAAAGGTATATCTTGACGCAGCTCCTGCGTCGTCGTATAAGTGTTTCATGACGTGTAGATGATGTCGTTAAATTAAGAAAAAATTTGGGGTACATCTATGACGCAGATCCTGCGTCGTCGTATAACTGTTTTATGACGTGTCGAGGACGTCGTTAAATTAAGAAAAATTTTGGGGTACATCTATGACGCAGGTCATGCGTCATCGTATAAGTGTTTCATGATGTATAGACGACGTCGTTAAATTCACAACAAGCAGTAGATATAAAAAATCTTAACGACGTATGATAGGCGTCGTCTAAATGTACTAGAATCAATGACACACATCTCGCGTCATTGAAAACGATTTTAATGACGCGTCTAGCGAGTGTCGTGATAACGGTGTCATAAACTCACTTCGATGACGCATTTTAAAAACATGTCATAGATAATTGCATTTAATGACGTGTATTTTCGATGTGTCATTAAATCTGCGTCATAAAAAGACACTTTTGTTGTAGTGAGCATCGCCACATTCTTGAAACGGCTTGTGCTTTAAAACTTCAGGCCAATCTTCCTTCCAAATTTTGGGGGGAATGTGTTTTAACTGCAGTTCACCTCATCAACCGTTTTCCTACTCCTCTTCTTTCTTTTAACACTCCTTTTGAACGTCTTTATTCCCACAAACCGTCTTTCTCTCATCTCCGTGTTTTTGGTTGTCTTGCATATGCCACTAATGTTCATGTAACACATAAATTTGCTCCTCGTGCTATTCCATCTGTTTTCCTTGGTTATCCCCTTGGTCAAAAAGCCTTCAAACTTTATGATCTTGAGTCTCACAAAATTTTCACAAGTCGTGATGTTAAGTTCCATGAAAATATTTTTCCCTATCACACTTTTTCTTCCCCCTCTTCCCTTTCGGTTCCCTCTGCCTTTCCGGCACCTCCTTTCCCTTCTGACGAAGACCCCATTTTTTCTTCTCCTCCAGCCGCTCCTTTACCTGAGTCGACCCCTCCCAGTCCACATCCTCTGCCTTCGTCCCCACCTGGCACCGACACCGAGCTTGCTGAGCTTGGTCCGCCTTTGCTCTTATCCCCACCGGCTAAGCATGTCCCCAGTTCACCCGCCACCACTCCCCATGCACCCACACCTGACCCGCCACCTCTCCACCGTTATGACCGCCTCTCTGTGCCTTCCGTTCGCTTACGTGACTATGTCTGCAATCAGGTCATGTTGCCCATCCCTGATCACTCGTCTTCTTTACTGCCGGGTCCTACTAAAGGTACACGTTTTCCGCTTTGCAATTATCTCTCATATCATCGTTATTCCTCGGCTCACCTTGCTTTCATTGCAAAAGTCAGTACTATTGTTGAACCCAGTTCTTATGAGGAAGCTGCTCCCCACTCTCATTGGCAAGAGGCCATGCAGTCTGAATTACAGGCCTTGTCTGATAACCACACTTGGAGTTTTACTCCGTTACCTACTGGAAAGAGGCCCATTGGTTGTCGGTGGGTGTATAAAATAAAGCTTAAATCTAATGGCTCTATTGAGCGGTATAAAGCCCGGTTGGTTGCTAAAGGTTTTACTCAGCTGGAAGGTGTTGATTATCATGATACTTTTTCTCCTACTGCTAAAATGCCCACTGTCCGCTGCCTTCTTGCTCTTGCTACCGCCCGTAATTGGCCACTTCATCAGCTTGATGTCAACAATGCTTTTCTTCATGGTGATCTCCATGAGGAAATCTACATGCTCCCTCCACCTGGTCTTCGGCGACAGGGGGAGAACTTGGTATGTCGCCTTCATAAATCTCTTTATGGTTTAAAGCAAGCTTCTCGTCAATGGTTTGCTAAGTTTTCTCAGGCCATTTGTTCTACTGGTTACATTCAGTCTAAAGCTGACTATTCTTTATTTACACGCCATAAGGGGCACTCTTTCACAGCCTTATTGATTTATGTTGATGACATTTTTATCACGGGCAATGACCCTATAGCTATCTCGGCACTCAAGGCCTTTTTGCACCGTCATTTTCATATTAAAGATCTTGGAGATTTGAAATACTTTTTGGGGATTGAGGTATCAAGATCAAAACAGGGCATTTTCTTATCTCAACGCAAGTATGCATTGGAAATTTTGAAGGATGCAAAACTCCTAGGTGCCGCACCTGTTGATTTTCCTATGGAAAAAGGTCTCAAGCTCTCGGATAAAGGTGAATTACTTAAAGATCCAGCTCATTATAGAAGACTCATTGGTCGCTTAATTTACTTGACCATCACAAGGCCAGATATTACTTACTTTGTTCATGTCTTAAGTAGGTTTATGCATGCCCCACGTAAACCTCACATGGAGGCCGCACTTCGCATTCTTCGTTATTTGAAAAAATCGCCAGGTCAAGGCATATTGTTGTCCTCTCAGAATGACTTGACTTTGCGTGCCTTCTGTGACTCTGATTGGGCAGGTTGTCCTAATACTAGAAGGTCTACTACAGGCTATTGTGTGTTTCTGGGATCTTCTTTAATTTCATGGAAATCGAAGCGACAAAGAACTGTATCTTTATCATCAGCAGAAGCTGAATATAGATCTATGGCGGCAGCATGTTGTGAGTTGTCTTGGCTTCGATCCCTCCTCAAAGATTTGCGCATCCTTCATCGCCAATCTGCTTTGTTGTATTGTGACAACAAGGTAGCTTTACATATTGCTGCTAATCCAGTATTTCATGAGAGAACAAGACATATTGAGATGGATTGTCATTTTATTCGAGATAAGATTTAGGAAGGTTTGATTGCTACACAAAATGTGAGTTCGTCCTCTCAGTTAGCCGACATTCTTACTAAGGCGTTGGGACGAGAAGAATTCAACAATCTTGTTCGCAAGTTGAGAGTTCTTGATATCCACTCTTCAACTTGAGGGGGAGTGTTAGGAAATAAGTTTGTATAATATCAATTGATATCAATACTGTTGTAATTAGGATTTACTTTCCTAGTAAGTTTCCTAGTTTAGAGGACTAGTTTCCTTGTACACTTAGAATACTCTTGTATAAAACCAATTGTACGTATCAATGAAAATCAATTCTCTTTGAATATCAAATTCACAGACATGTGTTTGGATCGTGTTTGATGAAAAGCGTACAACAGATATACATGGTTTGACGATGTTTGCTTTTTGGTCATCCAAGAAGTCAGAGAATGATGACTTCGTATCTTGAAGAATAAATTACATCAATCACTCCAATGACATATAAGAAATTGAATTCCTTTAAATCATATATATCCACATCGCAAAAAAAAAAACAAGAACACAAAAAATGAAAAAGCAATGGGATTTAATTAAAAGAGAAATCAAATGAACTAAGAAGTAGTTGAACTCCCTTGATGAGGTGCTAGCCCTCCTCTTTACCAAAACAAAAAAATTAAGAAGCAATCTCCACATCGCAATGATCCACCGGCTGGCCCTTGATGAGGTTTGGACCACCGTTGTTCAAATCCCCAAACCTGATATTCGCCGGGCAATGCACGTACAAGTGATACTTGGGCGAAATCCAAGTCCCTACTTTCCACTTCACGTCCCCTTGAAGCTTGATATTCATCAGGACAACCCCAGCATGCCAATCTTGATCCAAAGACTGCTGCGAATATGGCGAAATCGGCATGTCGTAGCCAGTCAAAGGAGGTGACCACACCACAGGTTCCTTGTGCCCTTGGTACGTAGGAGGCAAGAGATAAGCCATTGTTATCTGCTGGTCTCGATATGTGGCGTAGACGTGGAGAGGCTGGTACTCTACGCCTATCCGAGAATTAGGGTTTCTAGAGGACAGTGTGACCTGCATGATGATGGTGACGGCGTAGGGCGTTACCTTGGAGACGTTGAACTGATAAACAGTGACGTCTTCGAGGTTGAAGCTTGGCTTGGAGGGGTGGAGAACGAGGAACACAACAAACACTAGGAGGCCGATAAAGACAATAAGGCCACCGGTGCCCCATGCGAACCACTTTAGTTTCTTGCTGTTGCTGCAGCCGACGTTGACGCTGGCTATCTTTTCACTCATGGTGGGGAGTGGATTGTGTGGCGGCGGAGGGATCCGGATTGAAGGCAGAGATATGATCTCTAGCTGAGGAAAGTTGTCGCGAACTAAACGTATGCGGACTAGTGTGAGATAACTTACCAACAGGGAGTTTGATAAAGGGTCTAGTGTGAAAACATATAGCGAAACAAAGTTAGAGTAAGCAAAAATAGAATTTGAGTAATACTGAAAGAATAAAAAATTTAATCACTTAAAAAAGGTTTGATAGAATCCGATGCATTCACATTCCCATGATTATATAATTCTGTGAAAAATTCATGAATTCCTACAATAAAAGTTATCCGTTTTCCTATGAAGAAAATAAATTTAGCTATCTTCTTTTCTTGAAAATAACAAAACAAGCTATTTTGTGTGACTATGGATGTCGATTCTTGTACTCAAAAAGATTGTCATGGAAAAATATGAAGTCAACCTAATATATCTAGTAATCAAACCATGAATCAACTATTTTATGATTGAAATAAATGAATAGAAGTTTGGCAAAACTACTAACCGGATGCATGATCATCTCCATGACTGAACAAAACGTTTGAATAGGAGAGCAGCCGTACACGAAAGCTCTGCAAACTATAAGATTTAACCCTAATTGTACACAGTATGTACAATGTATAGTTCTCTTATATATATAATATAGCGATTTTTATTGTTATTTTTTTAAATAACTTGACGCATTCTTCATGGAACAAATCAGGAATGATTATTTTTTCCAAGCAAGGATTGAAGAAGAAGCCATACCTTAATAAATGCGATTTTTTTCTGTCAAAATATATAAGATGATTTGCTTCCATTTTTGTTGCAAAAAAGTTGCAGGTCGGTTGTAATTTTCCTTGTTTTTTCAATTCAATGCGATTTTCTTTCAATAAAAAACTGTCTAGTGGATATATCTTCTTTTTTTTTTTTTTTTTTTTGGTGGGAAAGGAAACGATGAAGCTAGTGGATATATCTTTGGATGCCTGCCATCATTCATAATTGGGGGATCTTAAAAGATATTCCCTGTTTTTTTTTCTTGTTCTTTTGTTTCCTTTTTTTTTTTGTTCATAACCCCTCCCCTAGTTCGATATGGATGTTATCCGGCGTGTGTGATGAGAATTGGGCACCCTTAACAGGGTGTGCCGTAGGCCCTTAGCAGGGTACGTACGTGTTTACAAAACAAATATCATAATTAGTAGGAGACAGAAAACACATTTCTTAAATTCTCTAGCTAAGGATATCATAATTTGTGGCTCATGATCATCTCAAAGAACAAGGCTTTGTCATGGCACACAAGCTAAGGATATCCTAGAACAAGACTTGGTCTTGCCACACAAGCAAAGGATATCCCTTCAGACCAATTGGCTTGCTTATTACGTACCTGTTTGTAAATTTGTTAAAGCACATCACCTTAAAATCGTATTGCACGCATATAAAGACGCAGCAAGATCTTCTTCGATCCTTGATCGTCTTTTGTTTCTTTTATCTTTTTTATAATTTAATGCTTAAAACTAGATGATATCCTTTACAGGAAATATTTTAAATCAGAAAATAAAAGGACAAACTAATAAAGTAGGGGGTTCAATAAAGCAAAGTTAAAAGATGAAGACATCATTGATGGGAGATTTCAAGCATGGATTTTTCCAAACAGCTAAACTGTGGAAAATGGAATGACCAGAAAGAAAGCAAAGAATCTAACATGCATACTCAAGACGCCTATGTATGTATCGATGTGTTTTCTCTTTTCAACGCTATGAGATGAGAGTAGTTATGGAAGTCTGATTATTTTCTTCATCTATTGGACTATGCTTTAAATTTCTTTGTTGAATTAAAAAATCTTGAGAAGAAACATTTTATGCATATTCCTTTGACGAATATAGTGCGTTAGGCCCAATACCCACACCCAATTAGGCCTGAAAGTTCAAATCTAAATTCTAGTCCAATATTCGGCTTCAAACTCTCCTTTTTAGGCCTAACCCCAATTTTTGAAAATTACAAATGGGCTAAGCTCGAATGAAAATTTTTATTTTAAATTTTATTTTATTTATTTATTTCTATAAGTGACAGTGAGGAGGAGAGTTTTTTTCACACACGTTGTCAAGGTATTATTGGAATTCGAATGAAGCCTATCGAACGCCCTTCAATGAATAAAGTAGTCAAGACTCTCGAAGGAGAAATTGAGAACCTCCAAATGCCTCCAAGGCCTTTCTTATATCCACAACAAATTCTTGCAGATGAAGTTGGTGTGGACAATCCAAGTCCCTGTGCATCAGGTGCTTCAGAATCTGAAGAGATTACTTTTATTGCGAATGCAAATGAAGTGAATTAATATTAATCAAGATGTGGATCTATGTAAGGGAAAGTTAGCAGCTCTACTCTGTATTTGATCATAGCACAAATATGTTTACATGTTATAATAAATAAATAAATATATATATACATATATATATTATGTTGATTAATATTTTATAAATGTTTAGTTTGTTATGAAATTCTCAAAAATAAAAATTAAAAAAATTAGCCCAGTCCAACTTAAGTAACCCAATGTAGCCCAACCCAACCCAACCAAATTCCATACAACACGTTCAAGCCCTAATGGCCCAGCCCGTGTGGGTGGGCTTGGGTCGAGGTAGTAAAACCCAAACCCAGACCAAATTAGCCCGAAGAAATGCCTAAGTCCTAAAAGCCCAACCTGGTCCCATGAAAGGCCATATAACCCACTTTCCATCAATACTTGTGTTGGAATTTCAAAACCTTTTTCCGAAGTTCATTTGAATATTAAACATGATTAATTAAATTAATCGCAGCGAAAGTATATGGTGGTTGTTTAAATCCAAAAATAAAACTTCTTCCAAGTATCTTATGCCATGAACATTGACATGATTTCATAAAATGAAAGCACAAGAGAAAAGGATAAGATCTAATTACCCTTGAAGCTATACTATGAACCAAGTTGTGTTTTGGTCTTCTCTTGATGATTTCCCTTTGTTGATCTCCTCTTTGATCTTTCTCCTCCTTGTGAGCCACAAAAGGATATGGCCTCTAAGTCTCCACACCAATTGAACCTTGAGATGAGAGGGAAGAATCTTGGGAATTCAAGGATGCTAGTGCAAGATCCCCAAGACTTGGTTTCAATCTAATCCCCTTGAAAGATGATAGTGTTTCACTCTTGAAAACTCACTTTTATCTCTCTTTGATCTCCCAAACCTATTTGGTTGATGTTGGATTGTGTTTGTTGTGTTAATTAGCTTATGGAAACAATTCCCATACACATTTACTTAAGCATTTTCGGCCAAACCCCATTGGGCTTCCAAAATTTGCCCTTATGACACTTAAACCATAATATTTAGGTGTCTTAAGCTCTTGGGCTTGATACCCAACCATTTGGGCTTCCCATTAACTATTACCGAGGCCCAAATACACTTTTACAGGTCGTAAATCATCCGCATCAAATCGATCAAATTCATTTCCACAAATTCATTTGTATTTCCCAAAGTTAACCACTTAAGGTGTGCGATCCATTAGGTTCTAATTAGCAAGGCAGTGGGAAAAATATTAGAACTCTTTCTAATCAACTGGAATTAAAACCCCTTTTTAATTCTTCCTTTATATGGATTGATCACAATCAATCCTAAGACTTCCACGAGCCAAGAGTGACATCTAGCAATATATCAAGGCTACCCAAGCTAACTAGAATAGTCAAAGAACCTATTCAGTTGGAATTGCAATGCAATACGGTCTTTCTCTAATACAATGTTTCCAATCATATTATTAGGGTATGGATTGATTATGTCAAACCCCTAATATGATTAATCTCATGTGATTCAATAGAACATGATTAAAAACCACTTTCTAAATCATGTTCAAATACTTCGGCCGAAGATTCACTTAATCATATCTTGAAACATTCTCCTTTTCTTATCAAAGGTAGAGATTCCTTATTGTACATTTACATGCCTCCATAATGAATTAAGAGATCCCAATAACACATAAGGAAAATCTTTTACGACTTGCCTTTGCGAGCTATCAAAGATCAATAACGCATCACAAGACAACCATGATGCCTCATGTCTAAGGACTAATTTGCATTATTGCAACTATGAGTTCTCGTTTGACATATAGATAAATACTTCATACGAGAACTACGGTTGATCGCGTTTAGTGTACTCATTCACTAATGAGCACCCACATACTTGTATTAGTGTCAACTACACAAATGGTTTGAGACTAACCATCCTCATTATTGAGCATACATAATATGTGCCAATCTTGATGGTTTATTAATGCCCATTTGATAACCCTATGATTAGGAACATTTTGGGATACTAAAGTTAGAGATTAAAGGTCTCCATAATCTAATCTTCTTTAAATTACTTTATCTCTTATTTAGCACACCCTGGACATTTGTTTCTTTACACGATACAAAGATAACAAAATAAGATTGCCCTTTATTTACGAAATGTATTCTAAGGAGATTACATCAAATGTATTGGCTCTTAGGGCACATTTCTAACAACTTGACCCCTCTCTCTTTCTCCCTCTTCAATGTAGTTCTTTAAATGCCAAAAGTTATTTTCAACTGAATTATTGGAGTAGTTAATTTTCACATTTTCTCGTATCAATACTTAGTACATACATGCATTTCAATTTAACATTTTTAGGATGTCCACATAAAAGGCTATAGCACATGTGTGAATTTTGCCAAATATATACACACATGTCAACACGTACTATCTTGAAAGCTAAAACATATATATTTATAAAATTTTTTTTTTAAAAAAAAAAAAAAAGGGTTACTTACTTTGATGTCCAAGAAGTATCTACAAAATGACAGATTTTAATTTTTCTACTGCATTGGAGAAACTCATATTCTGCCTTGTGTTCTGCGTAACCTACATTGAAACCTTATTAGTCTTTTCTCACTTTTTTGGTTATGTTTTTAATAATTTAAATAATAAATATAAAGAAACATGTTTTATCATTAAATATATATGTGGGGAGTGGGTTAAAAAATATACATGTTTTAAAAAGAACAGAAGCTCACTGGGCAGCTTCTTCTTCCTCACACTAGCTAACCCTCTCCTTCAGTCATTCATGGGGTCACACAGTCAAGTAAAGGGACCTTCTAGCTTGTTTTCATGGAGTCCATAGGGTTGTTTAACCCCATTGACCCCACTGTGGGTCCGTCAGTGTATACAGCTATAAATAGACAAGTACCCTCTCATGCAGTATAACAATTGCGTTTGAAGTTTTGAGCACAATACGTGGATTCTTCTACACCTTTAGGACTAGTTTATTTGTCTTGTTGATGGGAGTGGACCAAGAATCATTTGTTTGGATGTCTAAACTACACGACCATTCAAGTACTAAGAGGCCAAATGTCTATTTGGGTTTACTTCACAATGTCATCACATGATTCGATCGTTTAATTTTTAGGTCATCATTTATAAGAAGTATTGAGTTCATCAATTTATTTGAGTAACTTTCTGTAAAGATTATCTTTAAGTAATGACCAGTTGTGGAGTTAGCATAACGTAATGGCTAATGTTGAAATAACTTGATAATAAGAGGTTAGAGCTTTTGGATAAAAACTTAAAAATAATAA